TAAAGTTAAAAGAAAACAAATTTCCACATGCCACATTTCTATGTAACTTTTTATTTATGTGTTGTGTCTGTAACGTTAGTTCGAACTTGTACTTCAGAAATACATTTTTATATGCAATATTGTACATATTAAATTTTTTTAAAACGTTAAAACAGCTGAGAACACAAGATTTACAAGCCCCGTACTTCATCTTGTACATTTTATTTTCTTCTCCACTTGTGCCTTTGGTGTTATTCTGCCTCATTGTCTTCGTACTCATTGATTTTATTTTAACAGTTATAATTTCTACAATTATTTTGTCTTTAAAAGTATACCAATGATTGGACTGTTAGAGGTCCTCTAGTAGAGGCAATAGGAGCACTGCTCACCTCCTCAGGTATACAGTGTGGAGTGACGAATGTATGTAATAATAATTATTATTAATGAAACTTCAACTTTTAGATTTTGTAGAATTAGGAACAGCCACCGGCCTCCACCCTCTGGCCTCTCAGGAAATTCCCGATTTCCTGGCATCTCACAATCAGTCCGTCACTGCATACAGAAATAATAGTGCATTATCATCACAGAATCCTGTATTCTGTGGTATTATCTTTGCTGATGAAAACAATATATCCACACAGTCCCTGACAGACAGATGACTACCCCGGGGGTGACAAGCTGGCGAAGAAAGAAGACGAAGACAGAAGAGCGCCAGAAGAGGCCCTAGCCAGCAGGGTTCATCAGCCAGGACCCAGGGAGGTTGACCGAAATCTTCGGCACCGCTCACATTTGTGAGTGGGGCCGTTCGTAAAGTAAGTTAACCCGCCCTGCACGAGGCCGGTCCAGGTCTACAGCGATGACTAGGGTAAAAAGGCAATAGTCCTGCCTGGCCCTAGCATCCGAGACCGTCATCATGCCAAATGGATATTGGCGCGATGAAAACAGTGCTAAATGCCTAAATATTTAATCTCTTGACTATCTTAAATTCAAAATTCAATGGAGTGTTTTAATATTATTTAGGTAAATGCATAAATCGAAATGTCGTAAAAAATAAATGAACCTGTATTTGTCTTTGTATAAATTAATATTTGTTACATAATTAAATTAATTAAGAAACTAAAGAGAATATAGTGGAGAAATCGTGACTTGAGAAAATTCGTAACGTTTCACCACTTCTTAATTTTAAGTCCAACTGGTTTGAAAATAATACATTAGATTTATGAGGATTAGGTAGGTATTCATCTTGTCGTTCATATTTATCAAGTTTTCACAAGACGGAGATAAGACTAACGTAAAATATGAGTTAAAGTGAAATAAATATCCTCTAAACTGCCAACAATTGAATAAACCAGGTAAATAACGTTAAAGTTTTTACGTCGCCCTTTTCTGTTCATAATACCATTTACCATTAGTATCATCTTCATACCATTAACAAGACGTTATGGTGAAAGTTTTGTTTTTGTTTGTGTTTCTTCTTTTGATGTGTTTAATTTTACTCTGTTTTAATTGACAAGCTGGAAATATTTGAGGATTCAACTAAAAGTAAGTTGTTTTAAATTTATTGTGATGATATTATTATTAGAATTATAAATAACTTTTATGAATACTACTTATACAGGGTGTTCCAAAAAAGCCGTAACGCAAATTCAGGAGGATATTCCTTAAGTCAAAATAATTGAAGTATTACAAAAAAAAAAAATCCAAATGTCATTAAGCTTAAACATATTTTGTAGATTTTCTTGAAAACGATGTATCTTAACCATGTACCTATTAGAGTACCTTTTTATTCATTTTCTTTCCAAAAATATCACACATACATTTTTTTTCAAATGAAAAAATCCCTAGGCATTCTTATCTCCACCCTCATAAAACGTGGAATAAATGGTAGTCAAATCATTAAATCATTACCTTTAAAAAATTACGCCAAATGTCGTGGATATTCAAAAAACAACATTTTATTAAAATCACCCTATATCTCGAAAACAATGTGTTATTGGACCTATCTTTGAAGTGAGAATTTTCACTTCGAAGGTGCCTCGTGTTTAGGGCTCCATCCCCAGTAGGAAAATGACCCCGTAGCGACAGCGACTCAGTTAACGGGCCCCCGTGTGTAGAGCTTCACCCCGAAATTTAAAAGGAATATATCAAATACGGAATATCTAATATTTCCTATTAGATCTGGCACCGACATTTTTCTTCGACGCTGACGTCACACTTTTTTGGTTTGGTTGCTTATTTCGCGGTAAAAGAATTTAGCCATATATTGTTGGGCATCAAATGAATCGGCTCAACGCCTGGAATATTGTCATCCCAAAATTTTTGTTCTACGGTTGAAAAATGACACTTAGAGTTTGATATTTGAATTTAAAGTATCGAAACATCTGCATTAAAATGTCAACTTCTGGTCGTTCAAAAAACGCGATGTTAGGTATCAAATGAAGTCTTAACATCTAAAATACTAATTCATCTAAATTTTCATTCCACGGCTGAAAAATGCCATAAGAGTTTGATATTTGATTTTAAAGTATAAGAGCATATTCTGCAGTTCGAGACACAGACGTAGAACCGATACATTTTATACCCAACAATATATGACAGAATCCCCCTACTGCCAGATAAGTAGAGCTGTCAAAAATATTCCGTGGGACAGTGGCGTACGCGAAATTAGCTAATACGAGAAACAATAAACTGTTACAATTTATAACAATGTATGTAAAATTTACCCTCTTAACTAGCTTGTTTATCACAAACTGGAGAAGATGTGTAGCCATTTTGCAGCATCAGGTATGTTTCTATGGTTCTCTTAATGAGTGATGTTCGCTTTGGTGAAAATATATTCTTATATTTTGAAAACGACCGTTCGAAATCTATTGATGTAATACACGCATACGTAAAATAGTCTTTGAACGCACTTAACGGATCTGGGGCTGCACCATCACATATTTGTCATAATTTGGTAAAACTGGTGTCTTCATTTAACTCACTTGCGAACTTTTCTTTAACGCGCTCATTTGTTGCGTCACCTATAGCGTGTAGCAGTAGATTTACTTCGTCCACTATTTGCACTGACTCCGCTAATGACAACGCACTGTTTTATAATTTTTTTATGCTTTCATGTAATGGTTTATAGTTCTTCGCAATATTTTTTAAAGCTGTTTCAACGGAAATATCTTCGAATTTTGTCTGGCTTTCCTCATCTGGATTGAATTGTAGTATCACAGTCTTTATTTGTTGGAAATATTCAGCATAATAAAAAGCTGCCTGCAACCATGTTCCCCAACGTGTAAGAATCGGCTGTGGTGGTTCAGGAATACAGGGACACTTACTATGAAATGCACGGAGACGTTTGGGAGATTTAAGAAACACTTTTTTTGTACTTGCTATTAATGCATTCACCTCTGGAAAACCTTTTCGAATAGTTTTTGCCACAACAAGTAAAGCATGCACTTTACACGTAACATGTATAAACGTTCAACCTTGTCCTTGCAAAGAACGGTCTACCAAATGCATTGTCACGGCGCCATCAGTCACAAACATCAACACTTGACTTTTTGACAGTTCAAATTTTTCTAACGTCTCCAGCACCACCCTGGTAATTGTTTCGCTAGTACAATGACTTAGTCTTTTGCTAGCTAGTAACAGTGGAACTGTCGGTTTAAGAGAGTCCAGTACTCGTACTATAATATTTAAAATAGAATTTTTTTTACAATCTGTTGTCTCATAAACAGATAACCACAGCCGTGTATTTTTTAATTCACACTTTATCTTATTTACCATGTCCACTTGTACAGTTGGTAGATAGTTACATAACGTTGTGCGACTTGGTAACTTCACCTGGACATTGTATTTATTCCAGAACTCTCGAAATGGTTGTTTATCGAGTATGTGCAGCGGAACATCACAGGCAATCAGCATTAATAGTAAATCAAACATAAACTGTGTTGTCGAAGGCACGCCATTTTTTTTATTTTTATGGTGTTCACTATTTACGTGAAGTCCACAATCACGCTTATCCCAGCACATCAAATCTTTCTCGCACACTTTACAAATTATTTTAGCACTATCATAGAATAAATCCGGGAATTCACCTATGAATTTATTCACTGTCAGCGAATGGCCGTTTTCTACTCCTGCGTACGTCTTCCATGCTTTATTATTAAATTAATATCAACAATACAGTACAACAAATAAAATAAAACAAAAATAATACGCAATACGCCCAAGTGACTTAACGTGTACACAACTCGAAAGCTAATAATAGAGTGGACTGGAGAAAGAGTTTCGCGGTCAAGGTGAATGCCGGCGACAGTATGTACATCTGTACTCTACGACCATGATACACAGAAACGATTTGCATCTTTACAGATAAGCAACCAAATCAAAAAGAGTGTGACGTCACCATCGAAGAAACATTTATTGGACAGATCTGACTGGAGATATTAGATATTCCATATTTGAAATATTCTTTTTAAATTGTCGGCCGAGGCCCTAAACAGGGTTGTCCGTTAACTGAGTCGCTGTCGTTACGGGATCCATTTTATTACCTGTCCTCGCAAAAAAAAACTGCATGACAATATATATTAAATGTAGGAAAGCTGTTTGCCTCTAATACACTAAACCATTATGCAACCACTGTAGTAATTTGTATGCTTGTTGAAAAACGTTGACATCATTTATTTACTTTTTTATGATTACATCTGTATTCAGTAGCTTTATTGATATCCCCCCCAAAAAAAGAATTGCCCCAGACGGCATGTCTTCATTTAAATACTAAAATTGTCTCCAGTTAAGAGTTAAATTAGATTTATCGGAGATGGGGAAAACTTGAAAAGTGGCAAAAAATAAAAAAAGAAAAGAACTTATTAAATTAAATTAATTAAACACCACAGGTAATACAACCTCCTATACCCCTGAAGGTACCTCAAGGTACCTTATGTGGGAGAGGGCTACACATTGAGAGACACTGGACACACACCCAATGTCTGAGTATGCTAGGATTAATTAATAATCTGAAAAAATCCTAGCTCCTCGTCCGGGGATTGAACCCGGGACTCCAGGCTGAAAGGCAAGTGTTTTTACCATTCGACCACGAAGCCATTGAATGTATACTTTTTTTTCTACACAGACATCCTATTGAAAATTAACCTCTTCTGTCGACTCTGTATACCTATAGCTGGGTATTCTTGAGTAATCTAATATCCATTAAACGTTCTAGGCCTTAGATTATATTAGATTAGATTACGAGTGGATCATTAAGGCTCTAGTGGCCTCCGTTCACTGTGACCTAAAAGGATCTTTTGTGATTACCCTTATATCTAAGTGTACCCGTCAATTTCTAGGTTTCTGAAGAAGCCGAAAACTGTCCTGGTGGCTATTGCTCCCACTTCGACAGCTGTTGTGGATACCTACTCCAAATGTCGTAGCCTCTGGCGAATTAGGACTTTCCATGAGCAAAGTATATGTCCCGCGGTTTCTGCTTCTTCTGTATAGAAGGAACGTATGTGGCTTTCAGCTTCGCTCATTTTTTTGAGATGGTATTAAGATACAATAACCTGTGAGAAAGCCTGTAAGTATCCTTAACTCTGGTTTGCTCAATTCGAGTAGCTCTATTTTGCGAGTAGGTCTTCGCTTGTCTTTGGCCTGGAATTAACTTCCAGTAGGAGGATTTATCTTTCTTTTCCTATTTTCTGGCCTCCGTCTGTTGTGTGGCTTTTATATATTCCACAAAACGGTTTGGTCACTTGAATAATGATTCTGCACCTTCTCTCGCAAGTCTATCAGTAATCTCATTCCCTTCTATTCTTTTATGTCCTGGCACCCACATCTAGGTAACCTTGTTGTTCCTTGCCATTTGCTTTACTGTTTATAGACATTCCCAGACTATATTAGACTTACAAGCAAAGGAACTTAAAGCTTTAAGTACGTCTGGCTGCCTGAGAGGGTAAAGTTTCTTGCTCCTCGTGTGAATTTTTTAATGTATTCTCGAGCACAGATTTCTATGGCGTGAATTTCTGCCTGAAATTTGGTGGGATTTTGGCCTAAGGCTTTTGATAGTCTAAACCTAAACTCATATACTCCTACTCCTACTCTTTCCTTCATCTTTAATTCATCTGTATACCAAATAAGATATCCGTTTTCAAATTTGGGTTGTCTAGAGCTTTGGCGATCAGTTATTATCACTTCAAACATCCATTCAGATACGAATCTCACTGGCATTGTGTCACTAGGTTTGGTCATTGAGACTAACTGAAATTCATTCAGAATACTCTGACTTCCAACCAGATCTCCTGGTTTGAATATTTTAGATTGCAGTCTTCGACCACTGAGGGCTGCTTCCTTCTTTAGATGCATATGTAGAAAGAACAGATCAAGCAAGGCTTCCATTTGCTGCTGTTGGACAGGTTCTCATTGCTCCTGTGATTCCCAGACGCGCTAAACGTTGCACTTTTAGCAATTTGTGCTATTTTATCTTTAGTTTTTTTGCCACCATATTAATTAATGATGCATAGGTGACCATGGCCCTGACAACTATTAAGTATTACCAATAGATCATTTTTGGTTTTAGATCCAAAGTTTTACCGAAGAGCCTGCGACATATCCAGAGGGCCGCTGTTGCTCTTTCAGTAATCCTTGTCAGGTATTTGTTCCACGTAAGTTTCTGGTCTAGGATTACATCTAGATATTTTACCTCATCAGAGAATGTCATCAGTGTTAAAAGGGGTTTACTTTTAACACCAGTTGAAAATGGATGCTTTAATTGGCGAATTTCAAACCTGACATACTCTAATAAAATATCAGAATATGTCATAAATTTACTCATTTGAAAACGTCGATATTTTTAATTTCCATGTAGTTCTTCACTTTTGAGCACCCTTAGTCTACTTTTAATAGTGTTTGTACGAGTGTTTGTAAAAAAATAGTGTATGATATGTTAAAAGTATTTTTTTTCTGCAACTGTCAAGATAGTTAACTTCTTTTTGTCAATTTTTTGAGTGGAAAATACATATTTACTAGTCTTGTTCGGTAAAATAACATAAGGGATCGGTAAGTTTTTACCGATCCCTTATGCCACTTTTGGTTGACAACAGTAGGGTAGACACATTAGGGATTTTTTCACGCCATAATCTTCCTTTGGTGTATGACGGTGTATTTCATAATCTTCCATTTTTGCGAAAAAAGTATCTGAGGGAAAGTGTTCATGACGTCACGAATTAACATACACCAGCATAATCTGATCATGACCAGGGTATGGTCGTGTATGCGGTTGTGTTTATAAAACTTACGATAAAATGAAATTTTTTAAGTAGTTCTGTGGTTTATACAGTTGAAACAAAAATGGATGAAACTAAAAAAAAATGTGAAATGGTTCAAATAACAATTAACTATAGAGGAAAATTTCCGCCCCTATACTTTTTTTTAATTAAGTTATGGTGATCATTGGCAAGACATCAACAGATTTTGAAATGTTGTCTTCGTCATTCTGGAAAATGAATAAAATATGTTTTCATTGTACTTATCGAGTTAATATCTATTATCTCCATCATTAGTCCTGGGCCCATAAAAATAATTTCACATCTTCAAATAGTATAGAAAAATGTAACTGTCCATTTTTCTTTTACTTATCGACTTTATAAGAAATTGTTTTGTTGAGTTATGAAAACATTCTTCAATGTTTATAAATAAAAGAATATCCTCAAATTCCATAATAACATACCTAATTATCTTCAGTTGTCAGGTATAGTGACAGATTATAAGTTATATTTTTAACAGAATTGTCAACCAGTCTAATGTTTGCTTTTATAAAAAATAAGTTGTTTTCGCGATGCCTTTTCAAATGTTTGGTGTTACTGGAGTGGGGGAATAAACTGATATAACTGAACATACACCCGATGTATGTTGCGAAAAAATCCTTATAATTAAGCACTCTAGGAACAGCGTCTGATATCTGAATAGCTGAATTTTATGAATTTTGTTTGCAAGAGATTTTAAGTTAATTTTTTTTTTAAATACGGCACACCCGGAAAGTGTCTTTACTGGGCTGCTAGCTCGCCCAGTGAGGAATCACTTTCCGGTCTTGTTACGTAAATAACTATTATTTTGTTCGAAAGGATGGGCTACTACGCTGCGTGTCGTGTACCAAACTTCCCTCCTTACAAAATAAAATATCACTTTTAACACATACCGTAAATAGCTATTTTTTAACAAAGAGCGTAATTACTTCACAGCTTCGTCGAAAGACACCTTACTTCTTACGTCGACATAAAAATCATGTGAGCTGTCACACCGACAAGAACTACACGGCACTAATGTCAGTATGACTTCTGTTAAAATCACGACTATTATTTAAAACAGATTTTTTTAACAGTTTAATGTATAGAAATTGATGATATAGTCAAAATATTCATGTACAAGGACTTACAGGTTAGTATTTATTTTATGCAAGAAAAATAGAACTGAGTTATAAATTAGATAAACAATACAAATATATATATTTTTCTAAAATTAATAATTAGCGTTACTTTCCTCTTTAAAATGTTTAGACCAATAGACACGGATTTACTGTTCTGGTTTTTGTTTCATTGTAGCTCATAAAAAAATCAGACACCAGTATTTCAGAAAAGATTAATTATCTTCAGTAGTATTTCTTAGATTACACGTTGTTTATGTATATGGCTAGTTCAGATGTCGATATCATCTACTAAACCAAAATTTACGTTATTCAACAGTATCTATTATTTTTGTACGCACATCACTTATTGGACTGCTGCGGATTTGTTTTAAAGGGTGAAGAGTGAACGAGTATTCGCGAATTATCCAAAATACAAAATGGGTACAAAATTCGATGCAAAAAAAATTACTGAAGAACTATTGGCCTGAATGTTTGACTTGTGTGTAAAGCCGGGTACTCATATGCGCTCTGTATCTGTATCTGTATCATGTATTGTAACAGTTACAATATCAGTTCGCTGTATGTACGCCTAGGCGAATAGTCGACGTAACGACCTGCGATCATCTTGACCCGCAGTGTTCGAAGCAAGTTCAGAAGGTTTTGGAAACATGCAGTGTTTCGATACATGATCGGAACACTGACACGTACTGACTTGCGTTCCAGCTACGAACCGTCCACAACACTGGACCGTTCCTCTTTGTGTTCGCGGCGTTTACCGACAGGCGCTCGGATCGCTCTTCATGTTCTTAGTAAGTTCGCGAACATGGAACGCAAGACGTACACATTCAAAATTTTGTTACAGTATCCGTTACAATACATGATACAAATACAGATACGGAGCGCATATGAGTACCCGGCTTAATATTACGAGAGTGTGCAAAAATTGATTGGACAAGTAAAATTGTTGCATCCCCGTTACAAAATTATATGATTGGTATCTTATTATTGTGCTGTTGTTGATGAATTTAGGGAGAAGAAACTGGACCAGAGTCCAGGACCGGTAGCTACTACTGCCTCATGATTGACAGAATGACATACTTAATCAAATAAAAGCAAAAGTATAAAATTAATAATGGCATACATACCGCTTGATACAATGTATTATTCAGAATGATGAAGTCTACTATCGCATTAGCAAATATGGCGACAACTAATATTCGATTTGGTCTGTACCAGGGTTGGAAAAAATCATGATTTTTTTTTTTCAAAAATCAAGAATCAATGATTTTTATTTAAAAAATCAAAAAATCAAGTTTTTTTGATTTTTTTAATTTTTTTTTCAGTTTTACTCTAAATTTTTAAAAACAAATACGATTTTTTCATAAAATATTTTTTTTTGTATTCTCTAACTACTAAGTTGCACATATAAATTATTCGCGTCACTGGAAAAATTGTCTATGGTCTATATTTTCATAGAAACAATAAAAAATCAGCATTTTCCTGTTCAGACAAGCTGGGCGGTGAGTTTCATTAACTTCATAGATGCCGAGGGGACGCGCGACGGTCTCTTTCAATTGCTGATACTTGTTATTGCAGGAATTCTCCTGTTATAAATTGTCTGCATAATGGAATATAAAAGGGAGGATAAGTCGTAAGGTGCTTCATTTGACAAATTGTATTGAGCCTGTGCCCAAGTTAATTAAAAGT